GAGAGAGAGAGAGAGAGAGAGAGAGAGAGAGAGAGAGAGAGAGAGAGAGAGAGAGAGAACAAAGGGTCCCCTTCACGTCAATTCGAGGGCCCCTGCAGGTACCTCGAATGGCTCCTACGATACATCTGGATTCTGGACTCTAGCTCGTTCGGTACACCCATGAACTGTTGAAATACGGACCTGAGTTCGAATCCAGATGCCACCAGATGACCAGAATAAAATCAAGATGCGTACGGGTAAGAGACGGCAGAGCTTGATGTGTAGTTACGTTGATGTCTATTTAGCAGCAATCAAACTCGCAAGAGTCGAAACTTAGTAGTTGGTCAACAAGTGCAGATTTGCACTCTCCCCTGGACTAACAGCGAGGCATCCTTTTGTCTGTTGCAGAATGATGTGATCATGAGCTTTGACGGGACACCAGTGGCGAATGATGGGACGGTTCCTTTTCGAACAGGGGAGAGGATATCATTTGGATTCCTTGTGAGTCAGAAGTGAGTATGCCGAGATCGTTCAACATTTATCCTTTACCATTTATGTGAACAAAAAAATGGATTCTCATCATTCTCTTTCTTTTTTTCTGGTGCTAAGCATGATGAGATTAGATGGTGACCCTCCGGTTCACTTGGCGGAAGCCATACAGTTTTTCTAGTGTTTAGGCCCTTTAGGGTTTAAAGTTTTTCTAGGGTTTAGGGTTTACAGTTTTTCTAGTGTTTAGGGTTTAGGGTTTACAGTTTTTCTAGTGTTTAGGGTTTAGGGTTTACAGTTTTTCTAGTGTTTAGGGTTTAGGGTTTACAGTTTTTCTAGTGTTTAGGGTTTAGGGTTTACAGTTTTTCTAGTGTTGAGGGTTGAGGGCTTACAGTTTTTCTCGTGTTTAGGGGTTAGGGTTTACAGTTTTTCTAGTGTTGAGGGTTTAGGGTTTACAGTTTTTCTAGGTCTAGGGTTTACAATTTTTCTAGGGTTTAGGGATAACAGTTATTCTAGGGTTTAGGGTTTACAGTTTTTCTAGGGTTTAGAGTTGACAGTTTTTCTAGGGTTCAGGGTTTAGAGTTTACAGTTTTTCTAGGGTTCAGGGTTTAGAGTTTACAGTTTTTCTAGGGTTTAGGGTTTAGGGTTTTTTCTAGGGTTTAGAGTGTAGGGTTTCTTCTAGGGTTTAGGGTTTAGGGTTTTTTCTAGGGTTTAGGGTGTAGGGTTTAAAGTTTTAAACCCTAGAAAAAATGTATTGGACCTGGGTAAGTCTCCCTGCCCCTTGCCCGTTGACCAGCAGATCCCCACCTGAGATGTGTTTACTTTCAATTTTTGGCATGTACAGATTTTCAGGAGAATCAGCAGAGCTCTGTGTTCTGAGGGATGGAAAGCAGAGCGCAGTGACGGTTCCACTTCGAGTACCAACCCGTCTCGTGAGTAGCCTTTCTCCTTGTGCCAATCAACAACTGCCATTGTGTAAAAAATGCATTTATAATTTTATATTGCTCATCGTTATTGCCATATGATCTTCAGAGCTTTCCATGATGGTTCAGTTGATCCTCTAAAAAAGAGACAAAATGAAAAAGTCCATGATGGTTCAACTGATTTATATCCTCTATATATGAAAAAGTCCTCTAAAAAAAAAAAAAAAAAGAAGAAGAAGAAAACGTCCTCTGGTTGACTTGGAGATCCTTTGGATTGGAAATCCGTTTGGATGACCTGCAGCAAAGTCGTTTTCTTTTTGCAGCCCTCTAATTAAGAAAAAAGAAAAAAACTTCAAAAAAGTCAGGTTCCTTTGGTGGAAGTGCCATGGTTGATTGTAAACTGGGACGACTTCTTTCTTTTTTTCTTTTTTTAACAAAAACAACAACAACAAAAAAAAATGAAGCAAAAAAACAGAAGCAGATGGTTGTGGTTCCATGTCCATTTTCTGGGGAGAATGACTACGGTTCCTATTCAAACTGGGACTACTTTTTTTTTTGAAACTGAGACTACTTCCGTTTGTGGGGGCTTTGTGTTTCAGATGGGCTGGGGCGAATCCTCAGTCTGAACTGGGACTAGCTTTTTTTTTTTTTTTTTTTTGAAACTGGGACTAGTTCCATTTGTGGGGTCTGTTGTGGATGCAAATAAAATGGTTTGAGAGAAATTGAGACGTTTCAACCTTGAAACTTTTTGTAATTTTTTTTATTTGTTTTTGTAATTTTGGGCATCTCCTCCACTTGGAATTCAGCACGAGCCGGGGTGTCAATAAGATCTCAAATGACCTGTGGCCGCTGGGGGTTGTGATTCAGCACGAGCCGGGGTGTCAAAAATATCTCAAATGACCTGTGGCGTCTGGGGGTTGTGATGACTTCTGCCTTGGCTTTGCTGCTAGGAACGTGTGTGCATTGGTTGCATGTTCTGGACATGATAGGGTCGTGGGGTAATGATGGATGAATTAGGCTAGTGTCCAACAAACACACACACACACACACACACACACACACACACACACACACACACACACACACACACACACANTGCAAGGCTGTAGTGTCCAACTCAACACACACCACACACAACTCCACACAAACACGACAATTCTTACCCACCTCGCTCTCGCCAATCAGCACAAATCCTTATCACTGGTACTCCCTCCCGTCCACCTCTGGAACAAGCACAAATGACGTGCAAGTTGATACAAACATGCCAAGCAATATCTTCTTTCACAGTACTAATGAAAGTTCTGTCGGTCTTTTTCCTCGTGTTTGTTTTTTGCTGTTGGCCTTGTTTCAGATCAGAATACGGGACAGAATACGAGTATGAAACACCGGTAAGGCTACGGTTGCCGGGAGTCCGTGCTTCCTACACTCTTAGCATGATCTCACCCCTACCAGTTTGTGTATTCATCTCACAGCTGTCGTTCGCCTCAGAAATTTGTCTAGGCCATGTGCGCGCACCCTGCCACTCTGTTATTGTTTTTTATCTCGAAATCCTGGCTCCAAAGATTGGTGTCAAAGTCGGGTATTGCCGCTTGAAAAAAAATGAAAAGCACATAATGTACACCATCGCTCGGGATTATCTTGCCGCAGCTTTCATGACGAGATGGAAGAACAAACCTCTTTGCAAGTTTGCATGCTTTTGGGAGCACAAACTGGGACTGGTATCCATCTGCCTATGCCTGCATCCTGTTGGATGTCATCTCCTTCGTCGACTCTCTTGTTTTGAATGATCATATTTCTTGTTGTGTATTTGCTGCTAGAGGCTGAGTATATAGGGAGGAGGAGGAGGCGGAGGAAGGAGGAGAAGAAAGGAGGAGGGAGAGAGAGAGAGAGAGAGAGAGAGAGAGAGAGAGAGAGAGAGAGAGAGAGAGAGAGAGAGAGAGAGAGAGAGAGAGAGAGAAACTTTGCATCACCATATGTTTAAGCTTGTTGAATTTGGGTTGTGGCATGGTTAATTTTGGGTTGCATTGAGTTTCGCAATTTAACTATGGTTTGGTGTTTTTGGACAGTTCTTTGGTGGTGTCAACGTTCACGGAGGAGTGTTATTGTTTTTAATGTTTTATGACTTCTTGTGGTCTGGAATTGTCGTCTTGCAGGTGCCTGTTCACATAGCAGGAAAGCTGCCATCATATTTCATTGTGGCTGGTCTYGTTTTCACACCAGTAACTCAACCGTTTCTAGAGTAAGGATAATCTTCTTCGACTACCTACCTATTCCTTCTTTTTTTTTTCCCTTTCTGCCCCCCCCCTCCCCCTTTTTTTTTTTCTTAAGCAGAATTGCACCAATATTACACCAGTGGAGAGCCAAAACACTGAATCCAAGGGTCAATGAGAGCATAATCGCGCCATCACTAATGTATGTATCCGGATCCGTTCCTCCTTCTTGGCGCTCAGCGCCCAGAGTACGATCACGCAGCTACAACTCAGCCTACGAATTGACAATGCAACTGTTGACGTCAGCAGCTTAACCATGTCATCCTTGCGCAGGGGCCATGCTAATCTTCTCTGTGTCGTTCCTTCGATAAAAACCCAAAACAGCACACTTTTCTCAAGTTTTCTCTTAACGCTTGCGACATTGTCCTTGACGTCAGTACACACTTCTTTTTTTTGTCAGATTCCGAATATGCACATCGTTAGCCTGACTAGTACATCTACGAAACATGTTGGTCTATAAATAATTGAAATTTGAAAGTGCCGCAAGTGTGTAACGAGTGTCCTCTATCAGTCGGTTTTCCCCGGCATGCCTTTGATCCGTTGAACGAGAGCCCCTTCCACACAGGGTGCCTGCCAGAAGAGTCTTTTGGTTCTGCTGTAAGTAAGCGGACACTGGGGGGGGGGGGGGAAGAAAAAAAAAAGGACACCGGAACAATTTAGCAGTGAAAATCAGCTAATCTCAAATGATGCATACATCGTCGTTTGCTGAACTGGGGGATCCCTGCAAAGAAACAACGGTCGTAGGATGGACCCCTCGCCCACCCCCACACAGGGATGAAGGATCCCTATGCGAGAGTGGGGCCAGTGGGGGTCAAAATTTTGGTTGTGGGCAAAACAGCTCCATGGCCCAACCACTGCCCCCACCCCCATGGTGGGGCCAGTGGGGGTCAAATTTTGACCCCCACTGGGCCCACCCCCACCACTATGTGGGGGTCAAAATTTTGACCCCCCACTGGCCCCATCCCTATGCAAGGGTTGGGGTTGGGTTGGGGGGGGGGGGGGAGTGGTGGGGCCAGTGGGGGTCAAAATTTTGGTTGTGGGCAAAATCAGCTCCATGTGTTCCCCCCTTGGGTCTAGGGGTCCTGCCCCTGGCCAGGGTACGGAGGCGTGAGGAGGCATTGACAACAACACTGGCTGAAGTTGAATTCAAGTTGTGCATACCTGTGCGATGATAAGTCGGTTGCAGATTATCGCCTCTTAAAAACGAAGCAAAAGAAGAAAAAAGAAAAAAGAAAAAAGAAAAAGAAAAGGATGGTAATAGCACCTTGATGGTACCAAATGGCGTCCGGTAGTGCGGACCCAGAAACGGTATTTGATAAGCTGATGCAAACTGCCTACATTGTTCTGGAAAACTGACATCAGGTATTGGCACCTTGGTACGCGATCAGGGAGAGACAAAGCGAAGGTTGCCAAAAATTGCAAAGTTAACCTTTTTTTTTTCTCATTTCTTTTTCCCTGTTCCTTTGCCGTCATATTTGACAAGGAATTGTGTTTTGAATCTTTTGATTTTATAAACGACCAGTACCTTTCCCTGCTTGAAAAACAAATATAAAGGGGACACCACGGGCAACTGTTGGCGCCGGGCGGCTGTTGATAAATTTCGTCGGCGGCCAGTGTTGTTGCCATTCGGGCCTCCGAAAATCGTGCGGAGGGGCCTGTGTGCGATATATGGGAAAGGGGTACCGGTGGTTTAGCAAGAGTTGTTTGTGCTGCAATAGTGCTTGGTTTGTGATGCATGCATGGATGATGGAACATAACGACACGTGTGCATGCGGGCAGCGGATTGCACACATTCCACTTGTGCATTGCATGTGGTGGCACCGAACACATATAAAAACAATTAGAACATTTTTTTTTTGAGAAAAGACAATAAAGTACGATTGCTACAAACCTGTTCAGTTCATGAAGCAGGTCTTGACTTTGAGGTAATGCCATCGTACATCGCAACTCAGAAGAAGTGGATCTAGACCTCCAAAGGTACTACGATCTTCCCTTGAATAGAACGCACAGTCATTATAACAGCTGTATCAGGGGAAACTTTCATTCGAGATACAGTGAGAACGACTGTGTGTTTCTTGAGGTGATGGAGGTGGCATTGTTGTCGACACACAGACAAGGTACTGGCGAACCGGTACTGAAAAAGCGCCGTCTGTGTATGCAGTGGCGCCCTGTTTGCTTGGACTGGTAGTTTAAGTCTTGCCTACCATCTTCCCCTGAATAGAACGTAACGGTCATTATCGCTGTATCTATAGACTGGAGGGTGCGCGCCAAATACAGGAAGAATGACTGTGCGTTCTATTCGGGGGAAGATGGTAGCATGGATAGTTCCGTAAAAGTGGAAACTGAGTGTTGGATGCTATGGCAGCTAAGTGAATCTGCACATCTAGCTCCCCCACAGCTGAGGTTACAGGACGGCGCTACCCATCCCAGCATGAGCCCGACGTCCTCCACCGTGCAAGCACGGATTCGAACCGGCGACCTCGGCCTCAAGAGCCAGGTATCTTAACCACTACACCCAGGACACGGTGTTCAAAAGTGGAGCCATACCGGTCGTGATATCCACCCCACCCCTGCAAGGCTGTAGTGTCCAACTCAACACACACCACACACAACTCCACACAAACACGACAATTCTTACCCACCTCGCTCTCGCCAATCAGCACAAATCCTTATCACTGGTACTCCCTCCCGTCCACCTCTGGAACAAGCACAAATGACGTGCAAGTTGATACAAACATGCCAAGCAATATCTTCTTTCACAGTACTAATGAAAGTTCTGTCGGTCTTTTTCCTCGTGTTTGTTTTTTGCTGTTGGCCTTGTTTCAGATCAGAATACGGGACAGAATACGAGTATGAAACACCGGTAAGGCTACGGTTGCCGGGAGTCCGTGCTTCCTACACTCTTAGCATGATCTCACCCCTACCAGTTTGTGTATTCATCTCACAGCTGTCGTTCGCCTCAGAAATTTGTCTAGGCCATGTGCGCGCACCCTGCCACTCTGTTATTGTTTTTTATCTCGAAATCCTGGCTCCAAAGATTGGTGTCAAAGTCGGGTATTGCCGCTTGAAAAAAAATGAAAAGCACATAATGTACACCATCGCTCGGGATTATCTTGCCGCAGCTTTCATGACGAGATGGAAGAACAAACCTCTTTGCAAGTTTGCATGCTTTTGGGAGCACAAACTGGGACTGGTATCCATCTGCCTATGCCTGCATCCTGTTGGATGTCATCTCCTTCGTCGACTCTCTTGTTTTGAATGATCATATTTCTTGTTGTGTATTTGCTGCTAGAGGCTGAGTATATAGGGAGGAGGAGGAGGCGGAGGAAGGAGGAGAAGAAAGGAGGAGGGAGAGAGAGAGAGAGAGAGAGAGAGAGAGAGAGAGAGAGAGAGAGAGAGAGAGAGAGAGAGAGAGAGAGAGAGAGAGAGAGA